CAGCGAGCGCGATGTTGGGCGCGGCGGTGGGCAGCGCCAGATGGTAGTGGAAGGTGCGACGGCGCATGTCCGGCGTGTACACCGTCTCGATCAGGTCGCCGCACGACACGGCCGTCATGCTCTCGTCCACCGTCAGCTCCAGCTTCCACGTGCACAGGTCGCAGAAGCTGTCGATGCACGGGAACCACAGCCGCGACGAGTTCTCGAAGCCGTAGGTGAACATGTGTGCGCCGCGTTCGGCCAACGTGCCCTCGCCCTCCGGCAGCACGAAGTGTACGCCGGCCGTAGGCGTCTCGAGGCTAAACTCGACGCCGATGCGCAGCATCTGGCCGTCCTGCACCAGGTCCTGCGCCTCCACCGGGATGTCGACCACCAGCTCGCCGCGGCCGTACTCGGGGTCGGTCGAGTTGACGGCCGCTTGGTGCGCCTCGGCGAACGACTCGAGGTCGCGGCTGTCGGCGCGCGCGCGCGACGTTAGGGCCGCAGGGGAGGACCACACACTTTACAATGAACAAATAATGCCAATGTACCACTTTTTACCAACACAACTAAATAATTTTAAAACCACACATGTTTCAAACTATGCAACCATAAAGAACAGGCTTAGGCCAACTGAACTCCTCTTACTTGGAGCTGCCCTGCATGATGTCCTGTGTGGGATCACAATAACTGAAGCTGGTCTCCAAGTCATCATTCAGGGTGACGCGATAGACTCGGCACTGCTTGCAGTTGAGCTTGACCTGGCGCAAGTAGTCTGTCTGGAGTGCTATTGTCAGCTCCACAAAGCCCTGGCAATGCAGAAACACAACAGCCATCAGCCACTCAGTGTGAACAAGATGCAATCAAAACAATGTGAGGCTTTGGCTAGTAAGCAGGCATCATGCCACCAATCTTCTGATGTCAGTTTTACCTATGAATTTATTTTAACCCATTCTCAAAGGATAGGCTAGCACTACATGCTCCTGTCTCAGCCACAAAGTAACCTTATCACAGGTGTTATGATTCATGAAGCCTTCCTAAACATTCTTTTCAATATAATGCACTCTTGCACTCACAATGATGCTCTGCCTCTGCAGGTTGATGCCTGTCAAGCTAAGAATCTGGTGGGCTGAAAAGAAAAGAAAACTTATCACAAATACTAAAATGTGATGGCATATCAGAAAACCAAGAGCAGGAATGATAAACTATTCACAGTCAAGACCACAACACACATTTGATGTAGATAAGCAGCAAATTTTTGGTTTCTAAGTGTCTCATTTGCAGAAGTCACTTTGCAATTGCATTGCATGCATCAAACTACACATGATGTGTTATATTTAGCATTCAACTTTAAGCATGATAATGAAACCCAATCACTTTTTCAAACATATTCCAATACACATAACTTGGTGAGTCTTGGAATAACATAAGTGAAGGTTACCAAAAACAAAACAGAGAATCAATGAGTATGTCTAAAACTTACAGTGGACATCTAGATATATTCAAATGCCTTTTTCCTTTTAAGTTTTGATTGAACCCAATGCATATGCATTCCCAGTCATCTCAATGTAAGCCAGCTTTAACATCATCCTTTTGTGTGGTGAAACTGAACTGCTCTACCCAATATTCCATGAATGTGATGTGCCTTGAAATTTGACCTCTATTTCCAACAGCTCACCTAGTTTGTATGGACGAACTGAATCCACTGGACCAACTGGCTGCTGCATCTTGTCTGGGTGGAGTTGATCTTATGTGGACTTGAACTGACAAGACAAATGTATGCCTCCTCAATGCTGCATAAGCTTTCCGATAATGCAGTCCTCCATAAGACCTTAATTCCACAAAATTAATTTACAGAACGAGTCCAATCAACCTGTCCAGGGTCCCAATCAAGTTCACATCCCATCATAACAATTATCTACGAATACACCATAGAGTAAAAAGGAGCATATTAACATCTCGTGACAATAACTGTTTTATTTCAACGAAGCAGCAGCAATTGCCCCGATAGCCACAACACACAAACCGGCCGCAGAATCTGGCACGGCCTTCAGTAAGGCGTTCTACGACGCTAGTAATGCATCGTCTGCGCCGGAATAGGACAACAGTGGCCAGCCGTAATTATGGGGCGAGGGTATTAAATTAAACAAAGACCTTTTCAAATACCGGAAGATAATCATGCCGCTGCTATCAGTGCACAGAGAAACCTGAACATGGGCGTAGGAACAGGGGGGGGGGGGGGGGCAGGTGGGCCATGGCTCCCTTTTTTCAAGGTGGGGAGGCCAGCAGTGTTAACTGGCCCCCCACTTTTCAGATCAAGGTTGTGTTTAGCTTACTCTTGCACCACATTTAAATTTACGTGACGGTTTACCTAGTTCACCAGCCATCTTCTTTAAGATGCGTCATTTTTTTTTGTTTGCTTATTGACCATCGCTTAGCATTTCAGCCGCAGGCCGCCGCCACGCGGCCTATGGAGACTGCAACGCCGGGCGTTCAGCCTGTTGTTGCCATGACTTGCGAGCGCGTGTATTCAAAACCATATTGCATAGTTTTTTTATCAGTAATCAATTCTGACTGAATCTTAGACATTTTAAGACGAACATGAGTAAGCCATGTTAATACAAGCTTAGGATCCCATTTCATCTACAATCTACGTTCAGGGATTCCTCAATATCTCTGAAGAAAACAGAAAAACACGGAACTGGAGCCTGTGTAACAATTATTGGACCACCTTTGGCGATCAGGGATGTTGTTGCGTCAATGAGGGTTCCTGTGCTGATCCGGGGCCAACTGCGTGGGTCAGAAGGCCTCCCGTGTGAAGGAGGGGAACAATGTGATATGATATATCGTTCCAATGGCCACCGGATCGACCAGGAGATGCCGCCCTGTGTCGCTAGAATGGCACCCAGAAGACGCTTCGCGATGGGACGGGGTGAACCTTCAGCTCTTGACCGGAACCGGTAATGTGCCTTTGGTGTTCCACTCGGGGGGCCCCTTGCCCGTAAGGGGCCTCATTATTGTTAAGTAGATAAATAAGGGCTCATTATTGTTGAGTAGAGTGAAGATCTCATTATTGCTGAATAGAGTAGGTCGAAATTATGTTAAAAAAAGAACAAGGCCATTCCATGTTGGCCGAAGAACGCTCATTTTTCAGAATGAATTAGTGAAAAAGGTGCACCAAAAGTTTGAACATACCCGCCCGCCCGCAACCTCAAGAGCAAGGACAGCGACGGTCTGGATTGCAGCTTTTGTAAAACCAAACGACTTCGGCCACTGCAAGTGCCATCAGACGGCGGGCGCCGTGTTAGTCTATCTTCTGGACAATTTAATAGTTACAGAAACACGAAAAATAGAGAATCTACCTTTATTATTCCAGTTCCACCACCAGATTCCAGGCACTATCTCGCGGTGCTTTAAGGGCCAATCCGGTCTCATCATGAGTCTAAAAATCGCACACGTCAAATATGCGCCCAGATTGCTTTGTAGATGTAAGATTTGATGTCCTGGAGCGTTCAAACGTAGCTCTTTCAGAAGCGCCATCTTTTTCGTCTATCCGTTGGCCACGGCTCAGTATTAGCTGTTGAGCCGACGCTACGCGGCCTACGGAAACTGCAACGCCTGGAGACGATTTTTGTTTAAAACTAAGACTTACGAGTAGGCGTGCTCAAATTATGTCACCTAACTTTTATTACTAACCGATTCAAGTTTCCAAAGGTAATTATCTTAGAACCATTATAATTTTTGCCCACCGGTGGACCATGGCGAAAAGTTAACCACTCAGCACGCCGCGGACTATGGAGGCTGCAACGCCTGCTGTCGAGGTTTTTGTTGCTAAGATTTTCGAGCGCGCATGTTAAAAACCACGCTATATAAATTGTATCACTAATCGATTCTGACTGAATGTTAAATATTTCCAGACGAACATGGCTTGGCAATGTCAATACACAGTGTTGACCACTCGATCTACAACCAAAATTTTCACCCTCAAATTTCGATCAAACATATCGATCTACAGTCTACCTTCGCGATGTCCTCAATGTCTGTAGAACATTAGAACATTACATTGCGAAAAACCTTCTGAATTCTATCGAATTAGAAAGAGTCTACTATGCCATTTCAAATTAATGACACCGGTAATTTATTCCATGCGGTCGTTAAACGCTTGATTTCTGCAGCTCATTGACCTTATCACGCGCTCGGGTGGGGGTCAAATTGACTCGGTCTCCGAAGGTTTTTCAGAATGGTTTTCGAACGGCGCGGCGCAGCCACGCCATGTTTTCCATAGTTGTAGAAAATTGAATAGCGGATCGCTTGGTATAAAAATTTAGATGCACTTTGTAAGGTCGCTGACCTATGACAGGTCAAAGTCAGGCCATGGTTTGCGCAAGGTCAACTTCTAGGGAATCGTTCAATCTGATGCAGCAATGGAGTGTTAGACAAGGACAGCATCCCTGAGATGCTTTCTTAGGCAACACAAATATTGAATGAACAAATTACGCTGACCTCAGGTTAGATATAAAGGTCAGACCAAGGTCAAACCAACCTGTTTTATTACTCTGGGGCTTGCTGTATGGGATAGTTTCCTTGTGCTGATTTCGAGTTTGTTGATGGCAGGAACCGCATTATCCATTGTCCATGGACTTCTTAGTGGTCAGAATAGGTCATTGACCTAAAATGACCTATGTCAACATTTTGTTTTAAGAAGCATACTGCCTAGCATAGTCCTTCTCGCTTATTCAAATGCAAAACTCAGAACAATCTTATATGATTTTGGTTACCATGACTTTCAAAAGGTCAAACAAGGTTACTGGCTTTAACTGAACATATGACCTTTTGCTAAGAAACAGCTATCTAGGTTCTGGGGCACTTAAGAGACCAACCTAAAATTTGACCTTGTTTGACCTTATTCAACCCGAAAGTCATAATCTAGAAACCTCAAACTTTCAACTAAGTGAGCTCACGTACAGGCTAACACACCCTGTGGATTTGGTGCCTCTAGCTCTTTTAGTTCCCGAGATCTCAGCGGGCTCAAGCTGATCCGTCACCCGAGCGAAGGGTATCTAGGCAGCCGTCCGGGCGCGTGATAACAATGTAAACATAATTTATTTCACGGTAGCTTCTGGTTTCTGCTCTGGTTACAACGTAACAATAACAACTAAACGAAAAAAACTGTATCCCTTGTTAACAAGTAAACTATATCCGGGGATTTTTTGTGGGAGGATCACCATTTTGTCAACCCTTTGTTCTTCTTAGCAAGGCTCTGGCTACCCCCTGCCTGCACACAAAAGCAGATCAAGTTATCTACGTTGAATGATGGCCAATTAAATGTCCGTTGGGCCAATTCATACCTAAAGTAAGCAGCTAACCGGTGGCATTTTTCTGGGGTGGTGTGGTGTAAGGGAAGATAAGTCGGAAAAAGGTACTTTTGCAGGTGTCCAACACATGTTTTACATCCCAATTAGTAGCGATGCTGACCCAGAAATGTGCAACAAAGCAGCCATACCTTCAGTTCGCGGTTAGTCATTCGGAGACAGCCGGGCTAGGACAGTGGCCACCGACGTCGGACGGGAGCAGGGCTCAGACAGGGAATATATGCCAGAAGGGCCTTCATTCTGTGGCTTGGTTTTCAAAGAATAATCTTCAGTTCTATGTCTTTTGTCGCATGGTTTTTGACAGTTTCAAGCTTCCGAATTTGTTTCCGCCTGATATGCCGCGACAAGTCTTATCTCTAGAAAAGCAGGCGGCAAAATGAGGGCGCATGCAAAATTTGTTGTACTGTGAGCTATTAATTCACTTTCAAAATATTCACCAGCCTATGCTCTGACGAGGACAGATGCCTCCTCAATGTCCCAAAATGCCTACCCGCTCGTGGAATTTCGGCTCCCAAGGAAAGACAACGTTGAAATGGACGAATAAACTTGGGAAGCTGGATAGCCTTATTTCCCGAATTACATAGATGATTCGTGTAGGCAAGAGTGTGCACCAGTGAGAAATAGCTCTAGATGCATATCTAGAATAGCAGTCATTACATTTGAATAAATAGCGATAACCGCCATCTCTACTCTTCCCCTGGTCATCGGGCTTGTTTTCCAGAAAAAGTTTCAGAAGTGAGCTCTAAGTTTGCCCCCTCCCCCCAATTTTTGAAGCGTTCCTACGCCTATGATATCCATGCATATTTGCTGCATATTAAGACACAGACACAAGACCGTATAATAGGGTATGATCATCCGACCAGGGCAGTGGCCACCGACGGCGGACAGGAGCAGGGCCCAGATAAGGAACATATGACAGATGGGCCGTGTTATGTGGCTTGGTTCTTAAAAGATAATTTCCAGTCTTAAGGATTTTCACGTTGTTCCTGGCATTTTCAAGCTCCCGAATTTGTTTCCGCCTAAAATGCTGCTACAAGTCTCTTGAAAAGCAGCCAGCGAAATGAAGGCGCATGAAAAATCTGTCGCACTGTCAGCCGTCAAACCACTTTCAAAATTCTTACCAGCCTATATCCAGGCCGTATTTTGGCATCTACACTGCAGAGCCAGATACTACCTCAATGACCCAAAATGCCTATCCGTGGAATTCCACGTCCCCAGGAAAGACAGTTTTAAAATGAACGAATAATCTTGGGAAGCTGGACAGCCTTATTTGCCAAATGACAGATGAATCGAATAGGCAAGATTGTGCACCAGCGAGAAACAGCTCTAGATGCATATCTAGCATAACAGCCATGACATTTGAATAAATGGCGATAACAATATCCATCCCTACCCCACCCCCTCCCGGTCATCGGGTTCGCTTCCCAGAAAAAGTTGCTGAAGTACACCCCGAGCTTGGCACCCCACTTTTTGAAACGTTTCTAACCCTATGGGTTAGTTAAGCGTACAAATGACACTTTACAAAGTGTATTTTTGTAAAGGTTAGTTTACAAAATAAAGCTACCTTAGGGTTAGTTTAGGGTTACTAGCCTAGTTCATGGGCTTGTAAGCGACTA